TACACACACACACACACACACACACACACACACACACACACACACACACACACACACACACACACACCTGTATTAATGTAGTGAGCATTGCTGATAATTAATTTAAAAAGTTTCTAGATTCTAATACTTAATTACAAACATACACCATTTTTGTTTCTTGAATCTATAACTTCCGATTAGTGATGGTAACTTTGTAGTGTTTTCATTTAAAATATCTTACGATGTGTCAGAAACGCTATTTTTTTTTATGGAGCAAACAAATTATGATATGGTCGTTATATTAATCTCATCTAACTAAGAAATTATTAGCGTTAAGAGATGCGAAGTCTTAAAATTTATAGCACTAATGTGGTCGGATATCTTAAATTTAAATTCTGCATATTTTTCATGATATAATTCGCAATAACTTCACAATAGCATTTTTCTTTCCATAAATATGGTCAGATGTGTCGCCTACATTGCATTTGTTTGGTAAAACGCCTTTATTGCATAAAGGTTAACTAAAACCAATTGTCGTTCTGCCTCTATCCTCTTTCATTATGAAAAGAAAATGAATATTACTGAGATGTGTGTGAAGAGTACGAAGAAGTGAACCGTAACGTTCAGTACAATGATGATCTTTATATTGATGTATAAATCTTGCAAAGCGCCATAATTCAATCATTTATTAGTATGTTAAAATTAATGTATCCAGGACAAAATTAAGACTACACGCAGTGGGTCCATAGGCAACTTAGTTTCTGTGGGGCCTTCTTTTTTCATTGAAATGTTGCCTATCAAAATAATCATTTACCAAATATAACGTTTTTCAGATACTGGTTTCCACTTTAAAAAATGAATGACAACTTAAAAGAAAAACGCTTGTTTCCATGGCACTGTTTCTTGGGGAACTGTTTACTCTATGTCTGTCTTTTTGTTGATACGGCCCCGAGTGATATAGATCGAAACTGCTGCCCTCAGCAGATCGTGATATCAAAGTTTGCTGTGTTAATAATTATTTACATAAACCATTAGATGACCAATAAAATGTTTTCTTGCATTCATAAAAACAGAATAAATTTAGTCAGATTTAAATACTAAGCTATAAATGCTTACATTTTTTTTCAGTTTGTGCGGGCTTAGGATATGGTGTGATTAAACTCCAAAACAGGAGGAGGCGAATGCTCCGGTCCAAGATTGGCGACATCGACAACAAGAACTGTGACAAACTCTGTAAGTCTCCTGACTTCTAGCTTATTGTGTGCTTAATGCTATGCTAGTGTGTATTTAATATAAAACATTTCTGTAATTCGGAAGCCTCATTATAAATCTTATTGTATAGATGTCAAAGAGTGGCTCCACCAAAACCACAAGCGAGTTGCTAAAGTGAAGATTGGTCCTGACGAGGCTATTTACACTGTAAATCGGAAGGGGGAAACGCTAAGAAAAGTAGACTTCAAAGAGGTCAACTCATTGGTTCTAGAAGTTACTCAAGACACTCATAAGAAGCCAATGGTATTGATACGGTCTCCGAGAGACCACGATCTGGTAAGTTTATCTTAATGTCATTTAAAAATCAAAATACTAAGTTTTTCACCTTTATTATATGAAAAAATAACATCAGCTTACAGTAAGTTGTTAATCAACAAGAAGAACTAAATATAACAGAATATTAATAGTACGAAATTTCTAGAATCAACCTTTCTTCGTCAAGACCAAAAAGAGTGAATTCGCCCTTCGAAAATGCTCAAACCACTTGGTTCAATATGGCTATTGCTGTTTTCATTGTGAATTAGTGTTCTATTACTTATGTTAATCATTAAAAATATTTCAAACAATGAAGTGTCAGTTTCTTAAGATGTTTACTTGAACAATGCATTCAGCAAGTCTTTAGTTCGGAAATTACCTAGTGAAAAATCTCGTTAGAATGCACGTCTTGTAGTACGTATTGTATAGAAAATCGTGAGTGTAATGAAAACTAAAGACCCTTTACATATAAATGGTAGATGAATTAGTTATAAAAAAGGAGCTTACTACTAAATAATAGTTGAATGAATTCCTAACGATTAAGTTGTTGGGATATGTAAATGAATAAATGATTATCGTAGTTTATAGATTGTTCTGTCTATTAAAAAAGAAAAGAAAATACGTACAATGGTCTCTTTTTCGCGCACGCACACACACACACACACACACACACACACACACACACACACACACACACACACACACACACACACACACACACTTACTTTTCGGGGCACTAATCCATTTATCTTTTGCCCCAAGTGGTATGTCTGCGGACTTGTACTGCTAGAAACCTGGTTTCGATACCTGTGGTGAGCAGAGCACAGATAGCCCTTCGTGTAGCTATGTGCTTAATAACAGACAACAACAATAATCCTCTTTAATGTTTTTTAGGTAATACAGTTTGAGAATCAACAGATCAGAAAGAAATTCCTGAACAAAGTGGAAAACTTTTTGTTGAGTCGAAAGAAAACGCTCGAGGTTATTCAGACATACAGAGATGCCATGTTGTCTAACGCAGAAACAAAGGAAAAACGTCAAAAACGCTTAGAACATTTCTTCCGGGAAGCTTACGCTCTGGTAAGTTATTGTTGTCTAACGCAGAAACAAAGGAAAAACGTCAAAAACGCTTAGAACATTTCTTCCGGGAAGCTTACGCTCTGGTAAGTTATTGTTGTCTAACGCAGAAACAAAGGAAAAACGTCAAAAACGCTTAGAACATTTCTTCCGGGAAGCTTACGCTCTGGTAAGTTATATACCAAGAAATATACCAAAAACCTGGTAAAAAAAATACATTCTAAATATACAGGTAATTAGACGATGATTAATTTTTGTTTTTCAGTTGTGTTTATCAAATCAGTTGTTAGAATTGCTTTATATCACTAAATCATTATTTTGAACTGTTGAGTTGTGAAATACCTCTGCTCGTTGGAGCTTTCGACATGTTGTGTTTAAACTCTTTTGCGCAATATAAAGTAATATAATACACAAACTTATTACTGTATTAGTATAGTATATTGTTTTATTTTTTGTAGACGTTTGGATTAAAACCAGGTGAAAAACGGAAGTTTGAGGACGTCAGCAATGACATTATCATGGTTATGCGGACATCGCTGTCAAAGAAAGAGTTTGCCGAAGCTCTAGGAATGAAACCGGATTCGCTGTTTGTTAAACAGATGTTTAACTGTGTCGATAAAGACAAAGACGGCAGAATCAGTTTTCAGGAGTTTCTGGATACCGTTGTTTTGTTCTCTAGAGGTAAATTAACGTCTGCGTTATTGAAACGTTTTTTATTTTTGTAAGTAAGAGTGTAATTCAACACGGAGGCTGTGAGGGCGTTTCACTGTTTAGGAATTTTCAGCGCTATTAATACTATTCAGCAACCTTGACTGTTTTTAATGAATATTTATTGTATCGTGTAGAGGGGAAAATTTGGTTTAGTCATTTACTTAATTGTAAGTGGTAAAGCGCATTGCAACATCCCCGATTGTTAAAAAGTCTTTAAGTACAGACTGCGTTAAAAATGATGTATCTCTTAAAGAGCGCTTCAAAACGGTTCGTGTCGCACAAAGTTGATTTTTCGCTCTGTCTACTTGTCATTTTTCTAAAGGTTAATGCTCTCCTTTATCTGAAAAAGCAAATTATCGATAATTTATTTTTAAATGTTTATTTTAAAGCTTTATATTTATTAAATGCAAACATATTAATGAATATACACTCGTTTATTAAACCATATTTAAAAAGTGAGACTTCCATCAAAACTAAAGAATTGTAAAAACATTTATAAACAAAAACAAAAAATTGATGGGGCATCGTGTTTGTCCAAGCAACGGTGTATCTAAGTTAAGTGTATAGTTCATGAATTACTGACAAAGTAAAGGTTATCCTCGGTGGGACAGTGATAAGTTTACGCTAAAAATAGAGGTTCGATTCCATGCGATGGGCACAGCAAATGGTCTAATGGTGTGTGTGTGTGTATATATGTGTATGTGTGTGTGTGTGTGTATATATATATATATATACTATTTCGTACATTTTATCGTACCAGATTAACTGGGAAGGTCAGAAATGTTTGTTTTATGCACGATTTTAAGAAATGCGTAAATTGAAACATCAGACATTTACTACAAATTTTGTTTTCAAGGGGCAGGGTATTGACGATAGCAACTAGTTTTTACGTGGTTTTGAGAAACTTGTATTATTTCCCTAGCGATAATTTCATTTAAGTAATGGATAAATATTACATAGAAGTTAAGTTTTTGTTTTATGACATCGCAGTCTCTTCTAATGATCAGTATATAAGTTAACTATAATTCTTACTGGTTAATGTCTAATTCTTTTGATCACATTTTAACGTTGTGAACAGCTTGTATGCCTTTTGAGTCCGTATCGTATCAATTTTAGAATCAGTCGCATTGATGACTAGAGTGTATTCTTCACTTAATGATTAACTTATTGTTTATTTCGTGTTTTTGTATGTCAATAAGTAACATATAATTTTTTCATATACGCAATTTAAAACTGGTATTCATTATTTGGAGAATATTCACGATAAATATCATTGTAAAAGAACAGTTAGTTTCTGATGTTTAAATTGTGATTTGAATATATTATTTAGGAGTGACTTAAACTGACTTCGGACTACTGACAAAAATGTATTTCATAAACAAATTCCAATTAGTTAATACCTTTGATTCACATGTTTTTTAAAAATAAGGAAAGGTAAACAAGCAGTGATAATTACTGTATCTTATGCAGGTAAAACGGAAGACAAACTTCGAATTTTCTTCGATATGTGTGACAATGATGGGAATGGAGTCATTGACAAACGAGAGTTGACCAAAATGCTGCGTTCTTTGGTAGACATTGCGAAAACTAACTCCATGACAGAATATCAAGTGATGGACCTGATTAGTGGGATGTTTGCATCTGCAGGATTGGAAGATACCGAAGAGCTAAGCTACGATGATTTTAAGGTTATGATGAAAGAATACAAAGGCGACTTTATCGCTATTGGGCTGGACTGTAAAGGTAATATTCTGTGGGATTGTACCACAAAAGAAACTTAATTATTTATAACATTTCTGATATTTCAATAGTCGTTTGTTGTGTTTATTTATTAATAGGAGCTGACGAGTGAAAGTAAAGCAAACTATATGTACTTCCGCAGGGTCCCCGATAGTGTTCTGTTTCGGGAGTAGATTAACAAAATTAAGAGTAACAAATGTATTTCTTGCTTTTGAAGTTCACATTTCATACCGTGTTGTAGTCTACAGAGTACATAATTATTCTCGTGATTCATGGCACGCGCACGTTTCACTGACGTCACGCTGTACAAATTGCACCGTTCGTCGTTCCTAATGTTAAGTCATTTTAGCGTCTACTGACTTGCAACACACTACTGTATAGTGGTGCGAGTGGTTGAAACAGGTGACCTTCTCCTGGCGGCTTTCGGGGAAATATGTCAACTATTCTATATCTGCTATATCCAGTGCCGATTAGGCCTTTCGTTAAGTACCAAGACTCCGTATGTGATTTCCATTAATTTCTGTGTATTTAATGCATAAAAGTTTCTGTTTTTATTTGATAGCTTTTCATACACCTAGTTAACTATATTAATTATTGGATTAACTTGTTAGATCTGACTTGAAGTTAATGATAATATTTAAAACAATGAAGAAATATGATCTGTATTTTCCATACTTGTCATCCGCGCAAAGCTTGGTTAATATTAGAAATTTAACACCAACATATTCACTTATTTTGATACACTGTTATTACTAAGGTTTCTTTTTCTTTTTAAACAGGTGCCAAACAAAACTTCTTGGATACCTCCACTAACGTAGCCAGGTGAGTTTTGTAGGTTAGATATATAACTTGAAAGTGATAATTTTGACAATTTGATTTCATATTAGTTGACTAAAAGACTAAAAAGCTGAAAAAAAAATGAAACTGAAAAATTGAAATATCACGATTTCTTAAATACTTCACAAAAGATTCAGCGTTTCGTTTTTCACTGATGTTAATGAAACTTTGATTCTGTGTTAAATGTAAATATCTATTAATGTATTAACGAGGGTACATTCTTTACTTAAAGAATGACCAGCTTTCAAATCAACCAACTACCAGAAGAATCACCTAACTGGGCCCAACAGAAGTGGAATCATTTGATCACAGTCCTGGAAGAGAACAGACAACACATTTTCTATCTCTTTGTCTTTTTTGTCATCAACGTGGTTTTGTTCATGGAAAGGTTTATCTGTAAGTGTTCACTGCACTTTTTAATCTAATTGTCCCGAACGTGCATATATTGACCGTATTGTGTGTTTTAGCTAACTTATCTAAGCGTTTACTGCATTTGACCAATAAGAAGCTTTATTCATGTTGTACAACTTTTCACTGTAGCGTTATCTGTACAAATCACTTGTTATAAATACGGTCTAAGTTCTGGAAAAGTGTATGTATTTGGGAATATGAATTTGATAACAATGTTGTTCAGTTTAAAAAAAAACATCTTTGTGTTGATTGTACTTTCCATTAAGTAGTTCAGATTAATCATTAATCTTACTATGAAATGAACAACATTATTCTCAGATTAATCATTAATCTTACTATGAAATGAACAACATTATTCTCAGATTAATCATTAATCTTACTATGAAACTGAGAATAATGTTGTTCATTTCATAGTAAGATTAATGATTAATCTGAGAATAATGTTGTTCATTTCATAGTAAGATTAATGATTAATCTGAGAATAATGTTGTTCAGTTCATAGTAAGATTAATGATTAATTTGAGAACAATTTTGTTCAGTTCATAGTAAGATTAATGATTAATCTGAGAATAATGTTGTTCAGTTCATAGTAAGATTAATGATTAAGCATTTATTCTATCCTCCTTTCAATATTTCTTACACAATATGAATTTTCCTATCTTATCTCCTTATAGTCTACTCCTACATGACAGAACATATGGACCTGAGGCATGTCATGGGGATGGGTATTGCTTTCACTCGAGCCGCTGCGGCCTCTTTGTCCTTCTGTTACTCTCTGCTACTGCTGACCATGTGTCGGAACCTGATCACCAAGCTGAGAGAACTTCCTGTCCACCAGTACATCCCGCTAGATTCCCATGTTCAGTTCCACAAGATTGTCGCCATAACAGCGCTCTTCTTCACATGTTAGTAGACAGATGTTTCTCGATACGTATGTTACAGTAATTAAAAAATTATCAAGAAACGTTAAGAGTGATTATCGCCTTTACTTGTGTCATGCTGATAGCAGAATTTCTACAAAGAATAGCACAAGTGATAACTACAATTTAGATAAGATAAATTAACCTGCAATGCCATTCAAATCGTTCTTAACGGTTTCGTCCAAGCTATAATGATGATTTCACCATTTCATCAAATACAGAATTATTTTTACATGAAACTAAGTATTCATTCATCATCATAAGACCACGTCATCTTTTTGGCAACCTAGTAATAAGGTTTCTCACCTCATCACTTGGTGAGAAACGCTTGTGTTAATAAATGGTGTTGTTTTTAACACGTACGCTGTATCTTAACATGCAGCACTGGTGTTTCTTGCATAACTAGTGGTAACGTATTTATACTTCTTGTAAAGCGATAATGGTTGTTTTCTTGTGTGGCACAAGTTTGTAGTTTTATATCGCTATGTAACGATAATACTAATCTTTGCTTTCCTATTTACATGTTCTTTGTTTTGGCCATTTTGCGATTATTTAGAGGCAAAGCTGGTGTTTCACTGAGTTAACGACGCATAATCGAACATAACTACTTGGTTAAGCAAGAACTAATGTTTATTTGTCTGCATTAAGACATGGTGTGTTTGTATCTCCAAGTTTCCATAATGAGCGTTGCTGATGTTTGTCATCAAACTTCTTTAAGGTGAAAAAGCTCAAATTAACTTTATAACAATTATCTTTCCCTCTAAACAAGTAAATGGGTTTGTTGACTTCTGATTTAAGATCAGACCTTCTCAGAGGTTCATAGATGCCCAGCCCACTTCTATCTTTTGAGGTCTTTGGCTATAATAAAAATAAATGATGACACATGAAAACAAAATAAGACAATCATTAACTCAAAAGAAAAGTGAAACATAATTTGAATCTTTTTTATTTAACATGTACTTGTTAATATTATTTAGCATTTAATAAATGCTTTTTTTTTTCTATTTGCATAAAAACAAGTCATGGAACTTTAAAAAAATAACGTGTGTAAATATTTGGCCCGAGCCAAATACCCCCCTCCCCCTAATTGGCCTTATTTAAGATAATGTGTGTTTACTTCTTCCGGTCTTCTTGTGCAGCAAGCGTTTTATCTATGTATGTGTGTGTGTGTATGTGTGTGTGTTTTTTATACGTCTTTGTACTGATAAGTTATTTCCACTCTTCTGTGTAGTGGTTCATACCATTGGTCACTGTATCAACTTCTATCACGTATCAACTCAACCAGTGGAACATCTACGTTGTCTTACCAAAGAAATGCAGTTTGAGTAAGTGATTGTTTAGTTTTTGTAAATATATCTATCTCGTTTAAATCGGCAGTGACTGTCTGAGACTACTTTGTGTGACCTTTCGAGTGAAGTAGATCCACACTATGAAACTTAGAATGGATTCTCTCTCTCCTTTTGTAATCATTATCTCCTTTAAGTAAAGCTGAAATTAAACTTGTAATATTTAAAATCATTACACGCAAGAGACCCTACTACATAGGTGTGCTGAAAGGTCCATATGACTATTTAAAGACTCATCGATAGGTTAGATATTTGTTTCCTAAGTATTTGATTTTCCACTGATGAAAACACCAATGGAGCGTTTATTAATCGAATCAAGTATTTTTTTTTTCATTTTGTCAACTGTTTTATTATACACCCCAAATTTATCAATGTAAATAATAATGACTTCATATCCCCCAAACAATAAGTGAATTAAATGAAACTTCTTACAGTAGTTACTCGTAGTGTTGTAATGGTTTGCTTGGTTCTGTTGTTTGTTACATACAGTTTGATTATTTAATTTTGTATCTCACGAAAGTTAGATTTACAATTTATTTTCTTGTATCTTTTTGTAGCTCTGACTTCAAACCAACGATAGCGTTCTGGCTTTTCCAAACCATAACTGGTAAGCTTTTCTTTGACAAATTCATTTATTTTAACAGCAGCTTACAACATAACACTTGTATCTAATTTACCTGTTTTTGGATTTCAACTGGATGTTTTTGCAGCATGTTTGTTTTCACGTATATCAAATTATCTCTCTCTCTCTCTCTCTCTCGCCGCACAAAAAACACACTCGACGAGTGTATATTTGATATTCTATTTCGTGTAATAACTTTAACAAAATTTTGGATTGGCTTATGAATATATGCTATGGTCTTGTTGCTTCTGCTTGACTTTGAATATTGTAGAACATGTGTATTAAAGTGTTATTTATGGACATATATTTAAACTCTAACTGCTGTAAAATGTACTTTTAAAATCCAAGTTTTTTATAAAACCTAACCAAATTTGTCATTTATTTTAAACTTAAAAATTCCTAACACGAAGTGCAGATGACATTACCAATCACTTTGATATATCTTTTGGTTCGTTATAGCAAATAACTGTTTTTTCTCAGGTATCACTGGCGTTATCCTGTTCGCTATTGTTTGTATTATCTTCATCTTTGCTCACCCGACAATACGACAAAAAGCATACAAATATTTTTGGGGAACCCACAGCTTGTACATTCTCTTGTACATCTTATGCATTATCCATGGATTAGCAAGACTCACTGGGGTAAATAACACACCCTCTCAATAGCTTATTTTCTAGATTAATTTTACATGCAACTCACTATAAATGAAATGTTGTTAATCACCTTTCATTAGGTAGGTAAGTGATGTTACGTATTGTTGTAACACGTGTCAATGTGTTAGTTGGTACTACGATAAAATGAGAAATGCTAAAAATATATTAAATGTTAATTTGTTTTGGATTGTAATTTTAGCTAAAATAATGGGTTAATCTTCATAATTGTTCACATCTAACTGTGGTAATATTACTAAATCATTTCACATTACTTGTATGTGTATAATAACTGAATATAATGTTCTATTACTTACTTCAATTACTCTTACTTCGAGGTGTTCTAAGAGCAATTTAGAAAAACTTCAATATGTTACGTGTGTTTCAATTTAGAGCCCTCGTTTCTGGATGTTTTTCATTGGCCCAGCTGTCGTTTATATCTTGGACAAAATTGTCAGTCTTCAGACCAAGTTCATGGAATTAGACATAATTGAAACTGATTTACTTCCTTCAGGTATGAACTTTTTTATTATTTCTTTTTCTTACAAAGCTTTTTTTTCAAGATTATGAAACAATAAATGTTTGAAATGGTTTCACTCAACAAAACTAATGTGCATTTTGTGCTCGCATTTCTTTCAAATTTCAACTCAGCAAAAATGCTAAGTTGTGTAGTATTAAACCATTTTGTGTCACTAGTTTCTGCTCACTTGCAAGGAGACAGAATTTGTAGCTTCGTTCTAGTTACCATACAGTTTAAAAGTTTAATTCCAACAGTAATATATCGGTTCTTGCTAATAACAGTGAACGTTTTATTGCCTTGTTTCCAGACGTAACCAAAGTGAAGTTTTCCAGGCCGCCTAACTTTAAATACCTGTCCGGCCAGTGGGTCCGCCTCGGATGCACGGGATTCAGGCCTAACGAATTCCACTCGCTGACACTGACTTCTGCCCCTCATCAAAACTGTTTGTCAGTACACGTAAAGGCTCAAGGTCCCTGGACATGGAAACTAAGAAACTACTTTGACCCAAGTAACCTACATGATGCTGCACTTCCCAAGGTACTTGTATACATAATTACTGCATGATTGAATAAAAGTTGTGAGACGTGGAAGCCAATTAAATTACTTCATAAAAACAAAAAAATTAATAAAGTAAACAGAGAAAACTACAGTTAAAAAAAATATATTGATTCAATGATATGAAACTTCGGTTTCTAAAAGGAAATAGCTTAACAAGTGGTCAATCCATTTGACTTAGTTATAGAAATTACCATGAATGAATATTTAAGTAAATTAATAATACGTTCTTAGGTTCATTTTACGTCTTTAATCCATAACTCGTGTTGTATATAAAATTGATATCCTTCACTAACAACTAATTACTTCGTTATCCAGCCACAGACAGTGATTGTCATGTCTTCCGAAATGATGTACCCCATTATATCACAAAACTATTATTGTTGCTCATGATTCCCACAGAGAGCTAATGACGTATCATGCCGCGCATTGTTTTCCCATTTATCAACTAGTTCAGTTAGCAATGTTTTAATTAACTCTTGTACCCGCATTAGTTCTAGTTTTTAACTGAATTTCTAAACAAGTGCGCACATTTAATGACGTATAGTTCATGAACTCCCAGCGGTTTTGTAGTGAAAGTTTATTTTTAATTTCCTTTTCACATCAAGATTCGACTTGAGGGACCATTTGGTGGAGGCAATCAAGATTGGTACAAGTTCGAAATAGCAATTATGGTGGGAGGAGGAATTGGTGTCACGCCTTATGCCTCTATCTTGAACGATCTTGTCTTTGGTACGTCCACCAATAGATATTCCGGAGTAGCGTGCAAAAAGGTAAACATAAAAACAAAAAACTACTTTTAAAAGTACTCCTACACTTGGATATAAAATAATGTCATAAATTCCTATTAAATAAAATGTGTGTGTGGGGGGGGGGGGGAAGGAACGATGCAGTGACGTTTGATAATTTTTTCTCCTGCTTCAGGACAAATACTTAAGGAACCTCTTATTCATGTCAGGATTTGGTTAATTATATTTAAATTAAAACCTAAGTATTAATTAACAAAAATTAATTTTTTTATTCAAGTTCCTTTTACTGATTGCTTAGTGGCTTTTGTCAAAAAATGTTGTTGGGTAAAAAAAAATAAACAAACAAAAAACTGGAACTTTCTTTTAAAAAGTTAAAAATGCCTAAACTGACCAGGTGAACTTTACCTTTTAAGGTCTATTTCTTGTGGATCTGTCCGTCCCACCGTCACTTTGAGTGGTTTATCGATGTCCTGAGGGATGTTGAGAGGAAAGACGTAACTAACGTTTTGGAGATTCACATCTTCATTACCCAGTTCTTCCATAAATTCGACTTGAGAACAACTATGTTGGTAAGTGGTTCTACCTCATCTAGCAGTATATAGTGTGGTTTTTATATACTCGTTAAGTATGCACGGAATTGGAGAAAGTGTTAGCAAAGATTTCTTTAGATTCCTTATAGTTTTGAAATTTTTATTACTAGGAAGTAGTTTTTTTACAAATTTTACATTATATCCTTAAAGATATATTACTAATTATAAAGTCTTGTAATTAAAGGTGTATTGGAAATCTGTTTTTAATGTATAATGATGATATATCGTTCTGTGATTTTATCTCCCTATCATAAAGTTCTATTATTATAGTATACATTTCATTTTTAACACCATATCTCTAACTCTTATTCTCACGTTTTTAACTTGTATATACCAAAAAGGTGTATTGGAAAAATGTTTTTAATGTATAATGATGATATATCGCTCTGTGATTTTATCTCCCTATCATAAAGTTCTATTATTATCGTATACACTTCATTTTAACACCATATCTCTAACTCTTATTATCACGTTTTTAACGTGTATATACCAAACTGTATGTCCCTCGTGTCATTGATTCATGTTGTGTAAGTAATAAGACGTGTCGTTATATCTTTTCCTCCTTCTAAATGTATTTTTTTCTAACTTGGTCAAATGTAAATGTAATTCCCTATCTTTTAGTATATCTGTGAGAACCACTTCCAACGGATTTCCAACAGCAGTATGTTCACTGGCTTGAAGGCTATTAACCATTTCGGCCGACCTGATATGACCGCTTTCCTTAAGTTTGTACAGAAACAGCATTCTTACGTAAGTAAATAGATATTCGTTACTGTATTGTTGCGTATTAGCCTCGGTAAGTCTGAGGGCTTCTATGCTAAAAAAAATCGGGTTTCAATAGCTGCGGTAAGCAGAGCACAGATACCATATTGCATAGCTCTGCGCTTAACAACAAAAGAACTTGCATAGGTAAATCAACATCAATTTTGTATAGAGAAATTTCACTTTTGGTTAGGTGAATCAACACAATCTTTCTGCAAGTACTTGGACTTTATAGGAGTTGCGCTTTATTGTAAGTGTTTGGTTTGTACAGCAACAAATATGTTGTGTATTATATTCTATTGTTATTTCGGAAGTACTAGTAAGTGCTTGTTAATTATATCTTAAATCAGTTGTAAGATGAACGTATGTCACAATTCACAAAATATGTTACAACGTTTAAAGCTCATTACACTGTTATTTACAACTTTAAGTTTTCAGGTAGTCCTTCGAGACGTTGTTCTTTTGTTTGAGTTATTTTCCTAAATAAAATATTGTTAAGCAAGTTACGCAAGAATGATTTATTGAACAAGCTTGAAAAATCACACTAATCATGATGCTTAAATAACATTTCCCTGAATAGGCTCAACTAAGTTTCGTATATTATATTTGCAGGTGAGCAAAATTGGTGTGTTTAGCTGTGGGCCCACAGCACTAACGAAAACAATCAACAATTCCATAGAAACAGTCAACAAATCTCGCAAATTGCCGTATTTCTTGCACCACTTCGAGAACTTCTAGATGCCTCAAGTTTTTCAGGGAATAGTGTACTATTTGGTGATCACTAATTATAGTAGGTCCTTCATAAAAGTTGAACACTGTATTCAAGAATCGGGAATTGTGGGAGATAGGGGAGGGGGTTTAAAAGCTTTTGTATCTTTGCCTGTTATTGACCAATCAAAATACTATAAACAACAAACTTGGTGTATAAATAAAAGGTGAGTATAATAAAAGCAGGTAGAACAAACAAACGAAACAATTAACTTTGATATGTTGCCAAGTGATAGGGAAATTATGCCAACCTCTGTACATATTCTCTAAATGTTTTATTAGGCTTACAAAGTAATCGCGAGGTCTAGTTAAATTTAAGGTCGCCAATAAAAGTTGGCGACAGGCTTAAAATAAAATTCATTAAAGTTTGAAATTTCAGTATATGACAATGAAAACGAGACACGGTTGTCTAATCTCTTGCTACGACAAACTAACTTGAATATTTAGAATTTATTAGCTCTAGTATACAGTTGACAAATATATCACCACAACCGTGTCCCTTATTTAACTGATGTCCGTCTATTTTTCCATAGTATACTTTTTATTTTATACAAGTTATTTCCACGAGTGAAATATTGTTCAAACTCGTGTTTTCTTTTTTTTTTTAAAATGATAAACATTGTATTTTGGATATAAGTTTAGAAAAAGAGAATTTGGGTTGTATCTTTTAATGTGATATGGTTCGCAAACCAAATTTATTTAAATGATTATGCAAAGAAATGTCGAGTGCCTGTAAAATATACTATATGTATGTTAAACTTTGACGTCCATAAAGCAATATTTGCAATTGTAAAACTACTTGTTTTAATTGAAACTTTTTAAAGCACGCACACACACACACACACACACACACGTTAGTTTCTTAGAAACTCAAGTGTGCATACTGCAGTTTTCTGAAATTACAGGAGTGAACCTTGAGGGACAAAACATTTTGTTGAACTTCGGTTATGTCATTATCCCCGATGTCATAACATCATAAATACTGTGGTTAAGTTTAGTGAGGATTATGGAGACACTGTGTATAATATTTGTTAGCTTCAAACCTTTTTGACGTGTTCGATTTCTCATTAATAGCTTCTTGAAGACGAATTATTATTTAAAGCTTTATTTGTATATCTGGAATAAGGCCTAATAACACTTAGAATAACTAAGACTGTACAAGTTTGTGGGTATTGTCTCACAAATAAAATTGTACTTTTCTGTTCTGGGTGTTCAAAGTCAATTATTTAAGAAAAATGTATTACGAAAGCGATTAAAATTACTAAAACTGGATTGCTGATAAAATAAAATTCACTTAAACTACTCCCACTTTTATAGACGAGATTTTATTCTAGAAAGTTCCTGCTGGCTGTTAATTTCGGGACATCATAAGCCAAATATTATAATTTTCATAAGATCAACTTAACATTTACATTGTCATGACTGCTTCATTAGTTGAGTAGTTAGCACTTGATGCAACACAAAAGCAGCTGCAAGCTCACAGAAACCTGTCTAACGTCTTATAAACATAAAAATTAAAAGTTCTTATAATAATAAAAATAAAAGATGTTTCATCTATAACTTTAAAATGTAAACCATACTTGTTTCACAAGGTTGTTTGTTCGCGTGAAATGCGTCTGACTTTTTCACTGAGTGGTTCGTTAAATCTTTTCTTATTGGAGGAAAACAACAAAAATACTTTCCTGTTAATCATTTACCATTATAAACCTAAATTGTATTTTTATAAGACAAAGTGATTTGTAGAGAATATTGACATTGACACATATCTTCTAAGGTATTTGTTTTCTAGTTATTTCTAAACCTTTCTTTAACTTTATTGTAAACAAATATACATACCTCTGCCTCCAAAACATAAATTAACATTTGTTGAAAAACTAAACTTCTTTTACAAAAGTATTTTCGTTAGTTAACATGATTAACAAAGTGAACAAGCAAGGTTATGTTAAAAAACACCTTTTTTTTTTTAAAAAAAAACAACTATTATTTTATACGCAATTCTATAAAAATGAGATTGTTTCCAGTCTCCAAATTACTAAAATACAATAATTTACTGTACAGGATAAAAAGTGGTAAACAAAAAAAAAAACCCCGACAAGACTGGGAAAACAATCTCATACACTTTACATGTTTCGACGTACACAGCGTGGTCACAAGTAAATAGACACCACCTTTTAAAAAAAAATACATTTTTCAGTCATATTCACATGAATTGAT